CATAGACCACTCTTCACTATTGCCATAGTTAGCAGAAGCCTACTGCATCTGGTGTTGGGGGAAACCCACAGCAGCAGCAATCACACCACGGCTTAGATCTCCCAAGACTGGTTTAGGAGTAGTGTTTTACGAAGACAGGAATCCTATGGTAATAAAATTTTCACGACACTTTCCCTTCACCACCCTCTGAAATGCATCGTGAATTCATTCTGTTCCTTCCTTTGCTATTGCCATTGTCCATGCATTTTAGCTACAATCATGGCAAAACTTCTAAGTAATCCCATCACTAATCCCTTCCCTCTATACATGGCCTCTAGTCACATCCTTATAAAACACTTATATTAATCACTTGCCTCTTAAGAACCTGTGATAGCTCCCTATTGCTTACAGAAAAAAGTCTGTCTTCTCTGCTGTTTTCAGTGAGGCTTCAACCCTCTCTGAAGCCTATGATCTCACACTGTGGCTTCTAGAATGCTATCCTATCACCACCAGAAAAATGAGATGTTTCAAGAATCAGTCCTATACTTTCTAACATCTGAATCTTAGCTTTTTCTGTTTTCTCTTTTCTTTGTCTAGAAGGTCCTTCTCCTGGGTGAAATTCTAATCATCAGTCAAGGTTCTACTCAAACCCTAAATCCTCCAATTAGCACATCAAGCTGAAATTAGGTGCCTTCTTCACTGCCTCTATCATGTACCATCTTTAAGTCCTATTATATGCTATAGATTGTGATTATGAGTTTCTATTTTCCCTCTAGATGGTAAGCTTCTGTAGAGCAGAGAATTTCCTTATTCATTGTTTGATAAAAAATTTTCTCCCAAAATAATAGCAAACGAGGCAACAGACAAAGGATTAATCTCAAAAATATACAAGCAACTCCTCCAGCTCAACTCCAGAAAAATAAATGACCCAATCAAAAAATGGGCCAAAGAACTGAACAGACATTTCTCCAAGGAAGACATACAGATGGCTAACAAACACATGAAAAGATGCTCAACATCACTCATTATCAGAGAAATGCAAATCAAAACCACAATGAGGTACCATTACACACCAGTCAGGATGGCTGCTATCCAAAAGTCTACAAGCAATAAATGCTGGAGAGGGTGTGGAGAAAAGGGAACCCTCTTACACTGTTGGTGGGAATGCAAATTAGTACAGCCACTATGGAAAACAGTGTGGAGATTCCTTAAAAAGCTGGAAATAGAACTGCCATATGACCCAGCAATCCCACTTCTGGGCATACACACTGAGGAAACCAGATCTGAAAGAGACACGTGTACCCCAATGTTCATCGCAGCACTGTTTATAATAGCCAGGACATGGAAGCAACCTAGATGCCCATCAGCAGACGAATGGATGAGGAAGCTGTGGTACATATACACCATGGAATATTACTCAGCCATTAAAAAGAATTCATTTGAATCAGTTCTAATGAGATGGATGAAACTGGAGCCCATTATACAGAGCGAAGTAAGCCTGAAAGATAAAGACCATTACAGTATACTAACACATATATATGGAATTTAGAAAGATGGTAACGATAACCCTATGTGCAAAACAGAAAAAGAGACTCCTATGTATAGAACAGACTTGTGGACTCTGGGAGAAGGCGAGGGTGGGATGTTTCAAGAGAACAGCATCGAAACACGTATATTATCTAGGGTGAAACCGATCACCAGCCCAGGTTGGATGCATGAGACAAGTGCTCGGGCCTGGTGCACTGGGAAGACCCAGAGGGATCGGGTGGAGAGGGAGGTGGGAGGGGGGACCGGGATGGGGAATACATGTAAATCCATGGCTAATTCATTTCAATGTATGACAAAAACCACTACAATGATGTAAAGTAATTAGCCTCCAACTAATAAAAATAAATGAAAAAAAAAAATTTTCTCCAAGAAACCAGTGAAAGATGGTTGAAGTTATATCCACGTTAGATGGATATACCTTAGATGGATATATACATTAGATGGATATATACCTTAGGTATATAGATCTATATACCTTAATATATATATACACACACACACATATATATAGATCTAGATCTAGATCTATATATCTAAGGTATATATATATACACTAAGCTGTATAGATCTCTTGAAGGCTAGAAACTATATCTGAATTTCCTTTTCTGGCTGCAGGTTTTTGTTACACTAAGGTCCTTTCTAAAAACATGACAGGACAGGCATTTCTGGTTGACTACTTGGTAGCTCTTCAGCCGTGCTGGCAAAGCTGTCACCTATTATAGAGACTGGGAACCCTGCTATTTTCTTTCTAGCCCACCATACACATGCATTATGGTATGTGCATGTGACTCAGTCCTGGCCAGTGGGAACTGAGGAGAATCTAGGGGGGAGAGGAATTCTAGGAAAGATTTCCCTTCATTTTAAGAGAGAGACACATGAGGGTAAACTCTTTTCTTCCTTCTTACCATTGAATTCAACCATGAAAAGACATGTTGGGACTTCTGGTAGCCATTTTACAATTTGTGAGAGTAACAGAGACAAGAGCAGAGACATTGGCCCAGATTTCTGATATTGTTGTATCATTTATTTAACTACTCCCAGACCTTCCTAACTCTAGATTTCTTGTTATGTCCTGTTATTGAAAGTCATTTGAGGGGGTAGATTTTACTTGCAACCAAGTATACCCTAACGACTATACAGAATATGTAATTTGATACCATAAACAGAAAGCATCAACCTCATCTAGACCACTAGTTCCTGCAGGCTTTTTTCTTGCCCTAATCCATCAGCCCCTCATGGATTCCTTCTCTATCTAAACTTCTCATTCATTTCTCAGTGAATACACCCTTTTTACACCGCCAAGTCCCTCCTTGTGTTGGCCTTCATTGTTTGTACACTGTTGATTTCAGCAATACAAGTGAGGAAAGTTGCCCAACTGTGCAATTGAAACAGTGCAATTTCAAGGTTTCCAGACTCACCTGGGCCCCAACACCATTTAGCTTGTCTTTCATTTGTTACTAGTTACTTCTCTTTCCCATTCTCCTCTATTCCAGATCCATCATCTATTCCAAATCTATTCTTTTCCAACCTATTTTTACAGCCCTGTCTTCCTCCTTTCATCAGATAATCTTCTGTCCCTTTTGAGGGCAAGAGGAGGCCAGAAGTATGAGACCATATAACTTCTTATCACCTCAAATACAAATTTTGTTTTAATTTTTTTTTCCTGCTCTGGTGTCAAGATAATCAGAAGAAAATGGTTCATATAAAATTTTGTTGCTTGTTCACAATTGTTTCTTAATATTCCTGACAAAACTTAAAAGATTTTGCACAGCAAAGAAAGTCATAAACAAAATAAAAAGACAATCCAAAGAATGGTAGAAAATATTGCAAATGAAGTAATTGACAAGGAATTAATCTCCAAAATATACAAATGACTAATGTAGCTCAATATCAGAAAAACAAAGTACCCAATCAAAAAATGGTCAGAAGATCTAACTAGACATTTCTCCAAAGAAGACATACATATGGTCCAAAAGCACATGAAAATATGCTCAATAGTTATTAGAGAAATGTAAATAAAACTATAATGAAGTATTACTTCACACTGGTCAGAATGGCCATCATCTAAAAGTCTACAAACAATAAATTATTCTGGAGAGGGTGTGGAGAAAAGGGAATCTTTCTATATTGTTGGTGGGAATGTAAATCAGTACAATTACTATGAAGAACAGTATGGAAGTTCCTTAAAAAACTAAAAATAGAACTGCCATATGACCCAGCAATCCCACTCTTGGGCATATATCCAGAGAAAACCATACTTCAGAAAGATACATGTATCCCAAAGTTCATTGCAGCACTATTTACAATACCTCAGACATGAAAGCAACCTAAATCTTCATCAACAGAGGAATGGGTAAAGAATGTAATATTACTGTGCCATAAAAAGAATGAAATAATGCCATTTGCAGCAATATGGATGGACCTAGAGATTGTCATACTAAGTGAAGTAAGACCGAGAAAGATAAGATCACATGATACCAGTTATGTGTGTAATATAAAAATATATACAAATGAGCCTATTTACAAAACAGAAATAGATCTACAGACTTAGAAAACAAACTTATGGTTAGCAAAGGGGAGAAGTAGGGGAGATAAATTAGGGAGCTGGGATTAACATATATACATTATTATATACAAAATAGATAGATAATCAACAAAGACCTACTGTATAGACCAGGGAACTCTACTTAATACTCTGTAATAATCTATAGGGGAAAAGAACTTGAAAAAGAATAGATATATGTACATGTATAATTAAATCACTTTGTTGTATAACTGAAACGAATACAACATTATACATCAAATATACTCCAGTATAAAATAAATAAGCAAAAATTTAAAAATTAAACTAACCAAAAACCCTACAAACCAATAAATTTTGTTTTAGTTTCTTTCTTTTCTGTTTTAGAGGGAGAAGGAATTCATTTTTGTCTTCATAAACTCCTTTCCCAATCTCCTTCTACCTTTTTTGCAATATAGCTATATTGCATAACTTCCAACCTCCCCCCTTCTCCAAATATGTTCAAATTTCCTCTCTTGAGTTCAGATCAAAATGCAGAGTAGGAAGATCCTGAGTTCACCTCCTCCCACAGACACACCAAAACTACCACTGTATACAGAGCAACACTTTTTAAGAATGACCGGGAGTAAGCCAAACAGATTTTCTACAACAAAAAATATAAAGAAAAAGCCACCATGAGATGGGGAGGAGGGGCAGAGATGCAGCCGAGTTAGAACCCATACTCCTAGTGTGGCAACCCCAAAATGGGAATGCCATCACAACTATGGAGGTCCGCCCTGAGGAGTGAGGGCTTTGAGCAGCACACTGGACTCCCCAGCGCAGGGAACCTACCGCAAGAATATGAGCCAGCTAATGCCTGGCTTTGAAAACCGGTGGGGCTTACATCTGGGAGAGCCGAAGGGCTGGGTGAAACTGAGACTCTAGCTCTTGAAGGGCTCACACACAAACTTACCTGCTTCAAGTCCCAGGACAGTGGCGATAGCTTGAAAAGCATCTGTGTCATATGAGACGATCCACCGGTTAATTTTAAGGAAGGTGCCAGAGGATAGGGATCTGCTGGAACTTTCTCTGGGGGGGGGGTAGAAGCACTGGCAGGTGCTGCTCCTTTTTTTACACTTTCCTTCCACCTAGCTGGTTTGGCAGGCACCATTTCAGTCACTCCAACCTGGCTAATGCTGTGCATCCCATCCCAGTGTTCCCCTGAGGACCTGTCCTGCCCACCCTGCCACCCTGCTGACCCCTCCGACATAACTCTCACCCTGCCTCACCTGATGAGCATCCCTAGCTGGCATCAGTGCCCCTCCAAAGTGGCTCCCACCCTGGGAGGTGAGCCCCACTTCACCTGGTGGGTGGCCTTGGCTGAGACTGGCAACCTCCCAAAGTGTCTCCTGCCTCAGCCCTGTACCCTGGCACGCTCACAAAAGTTGTGGCTGGTCCTCACAGGCAGTCACTGGGGGCCAGCCCCACCCGCCGGTGTACCTGCAGGATAGCAGCTGTGGCCCAAACACAACAGAAAGCCCACACAGCCTACGCGGGGGCATGCACCAGTGGTCTCCACAGGACGCCTTCTACATAAGGCCAACTCTTTCCAGTCTGGGAGATATAGATAATATACATGATATATAGAAAAAAAAAATGCAGAGAGTTAGGCAAAATTAGGAAACAAAGAAATATCTTCCAAAAAGAAAGAACGGGATAAAACCCTAGAAAAATAACTAAATGAAACAAAGATAAGCAGATAAAGATATCAGATAAATTTATCAGATAAAGATATCAAATTAATAGCCATAGAAATGCTCATCAAACTCAAGAGAAGAATGGATGAACTCAGAACTTCAACAAAGAGATAGACTATATAAAGAAAATCAGACTTGAAGAATACAGTAACTGAAATGAAAAATACACAAGAAGGAGTCAACAACATGCTAGAGGATGGAAAAGAATGGACCAGAGATCTATCAGACAGGGTAGTGGGAATCACCTAATTGGAACAGGAAAAAGAAAGAAGAATTTTAAAAAGGAGGATAATTTAAGGGACCCTTGGGACAACATCAAGCATATTAATATTCTCATCTAGAAGTAGGAGAAAGAAAGGGACAGAAACTCTATTTGAGTAAATAATGGATGAAAACTTCTCTAACCTGGTAAAGGAGAGGCATTCTAAGTCATGGAAACAGTCTCAAAAAAGATGAACCCAAAGAAACCCACACCAAGACACATTATAATTAAAATGTTAGACATAGAGAATCTTAAAATCTGCAGAAGCAAAACATCTACTTACATACAAGAGAACTCCCATAAGGTTATAAGCTGATTTCTCAGCAGAAACTTTACAGGCCAGAAGGAACTGGTATGATATATTCAAAGCATTGAAAGGAAAAAACTTACAACTCTACCCAGCAAGGTTATTGTTTAGGATTGAAGGAAAGATAAAGAGTTTCCCTGACAAGCAAAAGCTGAAGGAATTAATCATCACTAATCTGGGCTTACAGAAAATTTTAAAGACACTTCTTTAAATGAAAAAGAAAAGGCCACAAATAGATACAGGAAAATTATGAAAGAAAAGAAATCTCATTGGTAAAGGCAAATGAATAGTAAAGGTAGTGGATTTACCAACCACCTGTAAAGCCAGGATAAAGGTTAAAATATAAAATATATATAAAATATAAAAGTAGTAAAATCATATATATCTAAAATAACTGTTACATAAAAATATGTAAAATATGATGTCAAAAAACATAAAATGAAGGGAGTAAACATGTACTGCTTTTAGAATGTGCTTGAACTTAAGTGACCATCCAATTAAAATAGACTGCTATATACATAGATTGCTAAATATGAATCTTATGGTAACCACAAACCAAGAAACTATGATAGATAGACACACACACACAAAAGGAAAGAATCCAAACATAACACTAAAGAAAGTCATCAAATCACAGGGGAAGACAAGAAGAGAAGAAGAAAGGGGCAGGAAGAACTACAAAAGCAACAAGAAAACAATTAACAAAATAGCAGTAAGTATACACCTATCAATAATTACTTTAAATGTAAATAGAAAAAATGCTCCAATCAAGAGACATAAATAGGGTGGCTGAATAGATTAAACAAAATAAAACAAAACATGTTCATATATTTGCTACCTAAAAGAGACTCACTTCAGATCTAGAGACAAACAGACTGAATGTGGAGGGATGGAAAACAATATTTCAAGCAAATAGGAACTAAAAGAAAGCTGGGGTAGCAATACCTATATCAGACAAAATAGACTTTAAAATAAAGTCCGTAACAACAACAACAAAAAACCAGAAGGGCATTGCGTAATGATAGAGGGATCAATCCAACAAGTGGATATAATGCTTATAAGCATCAATGTACCCTATATAGGAACAGCTAAATATTAAAGGGAGAAACTGATGTAGTACAATAATGGTAGAGGACTTTACTTACATCAATGAATAGCTCATCCAGACAGAAAATCAAAAAGGAAACATTGGCCTTATGTGACACCTTAGATCAGATGACATTAATATATATATATATAAAATATATAAAATATTCCACCTCCAAACAGCAGAACACACATTTTCTTCAAGTACACATGGAATAGTCTTCAGGACAGATCACATGTTAGGTCACAAAATAAGTCTTAATAAATTTAAGAAGTCATATCAAGCATCTTTTTTGACCACTACTGTCTGAAACCAGAAGTCAATCACAAGAAGAACACTGGGAAAATACAAACACATGGAGGTTAAACAACATGCTAGTAAACAAATGGTAGGCCAACAAATGAGTTAAAGAGGGCATGAAAAATACCTTGAGACGTATTAAATGGAAATACAATATTCTAAAACCTAACAGTGTAGCAAAAACAGTTTTAAGAGAGATGTTTATAGCAATACAGGCTGACCTCAGGAAACAAGAAAAATCTCAAATAAACAATCTAACCTTATAGCTAAAGGAAGTGGAAAAAGAACAAAAAGTGCAAAGTTAGTAGAAGGAAGGAAATAACAAAGATCAGAGTGGAAATGAATGAAATTGAGACTAAAATAACAATAGAAAAGATCAATGAAACTAATAGATGGTTCTTTGATAAGATAAACACAATGGAAGTCTTTAGTCATACTCACAAAGAAAAAGAGAGGGTCCAAATAAGTAAAATCAGAAATGAAAGAGAAGTTACAACTGACACCACAGAAATACAAATGATAAGAAACTATTACAAATATTTGTACACTAACAAACTGGACAATCTAGAATAAATGAATGAATTCCTGGAAACATACAGTCTTCCAATGCTAAATCAGGAATAAATATGTATAGAAAATCTGAACAGATTGATCACTACTAATGAAATTGAATACACAATTAAAACACTCCCAACAAAGTGAAGTCCAGATCAAATATATTCACAGGTGAATGCCACAAAACACTTAAAGGCAAGTTAATACCTATGCTTCTCAAACTATTCCAAAAGGTAGAAACACTTGCAAAATCATCCTACAAGTCCAATAGAATAACAAAACCAGATAAAGACACTAAAACTAAGGAAGACAAAAAGGAAAATTATAGGCCTTATATAAAATCATATATACCTTATGAACACAGATGAAAAATCCTCAAGAAAATATTAAAAAACCAAATTCAATAATAATTAAAAGGATCATACACTGTGATCAAGTTAGATTTATTTTAGGGATGCAAAGATAGTTCAATATTCACAAATCAGTCAATGAAATATACCACATTAACAAAATAGAAGGTAAAAATCATAGAATCTTGTCAATAGATGAAGGAAAAGCATTTGACAAAATTCAATAACCATTTCTGATAAAAACTCAACAAAGTGGGCAGAATGAAAACATACCACAACATAATAAAAGACAATATATCATAAGCCCTCAGTTAACACTGTACTCAGCAGTGAAAGATGGAAATTTTTCCTTTTTCATCAGGTAGAAAGAAGACAGGTGCCCACTCTCATCACTTCTATTCAACATAGTACTAGAAGTCCTGACCAGAACAAGCAGGCAAAGAAAATAAGTAAAAGGCATCTAAATTGGAAAGGAAAAAGTAAAACTCTCTTTGTTTGTAGATGATATAATCTTATATATAGAAAACCCTAAAGATTCCACCAAAAAAACAAAAAAAAACTATTAGACCTAATGAATGAATTCAGTAAAGTTTCAGGATACAAAATTTACATAGAGAAATCAGTTGCATTTCTATACTACACTAACAATAAACTCTCTGAAAAAGAAATAAACAATTCCATATACAGTTGTATCAAAAACAATAAAATACTTAGGAACAAATTTAACCAAAAAGATGAGATCTGTACATGGAAGACTATCAATTTGATGAAAGAAATGGAAAAAGACACAAATATTTGGGAAAGTATCTCATGTTCATGGATTAGAAGAATTAATATTGTAAAAATGTTCACACTAACCAAAGCCATCCATAGATTTAATGCAACCTCTAACAAAATTCCAATGGCATTTCCCACAAAAATATTAAAAACAATACTAAAATTTGTATGGAAGCATAGAAGACTCTTAATAGACCAAAGTGGTCCTGAGGAAGAAGAACACAGCTGGAGGAATTTTACACTTCCTGATTTCAAACTATACTGCAAACCAACAGTAATCATGGCAGTACTGGCAGAAAAATAGACTCATAGATCAATAGAACAGAACTGAGAGCCCAGAAATAAACCTGTACCTATATGATCAACTAACATTTGACAAAAGAGCCAGGAATATTCAACGGGGAAAAGATAGTCTCTTCAATAAATGGTGTTGGGAAAATAGGACAACCACATTCAGAAGGATGAAATTGAATTTTACCTTATATTACTCACAAAAATTAACTCAAAGTGGATTAAAGACTTAAACACAAAGCCTCCAATCATAAAACTCCTAGAAGAAAGCATAGAGAAATAACTTCTTGATAACGATCATAGCAAAAAGCTTTTAAATGTGACACCAA